AGTGGAATATCAGTTAGCTATAGCCAGAAAATGCTGCATACCAAACCACTCCAAACTAAGTGACTTAAAACAGCAATCATTTATGGTTACATATCTCTAGATTAGCTAAGAATGGGTTGATCTTGGCTAGGCTCTGCAGGGTGGCTCTGCTGAGCTGTGCTGGACTTGCTTACCCATCTGCAGTTGGCTGATTTCAGCTGGGCTTGATTGGGGTGGTTTGGTCCCGTTCTGTGTATCTCTTAGCCTCCTCCTGGGACCAGTGGGTCAATCTGGGCATGTTTTTCTTATGGCATCTGGGCAGAGTTCCAAGAGAATAAGCCCAATCAGGCAAGCCCTGTATCAGTCTTTAATTATATAATTCCCACTAATATTGCATTGGCTAAGTTATGAGGCTGAACCCAAGGTGAAGGGTTGGGAGCGACATTCCACGTTTTTAGAGGAAGCACTGCCAAATCACATAGCAACGGGCATGGAGACAGGGAGGGGTGAAGACCTAGGGCAATTCATGCAATTTCCTGGATCAGGTAAGAGATTGGAACAGGAGAGTGGAAAGAAACGGAGTTCATGAGGGTTTGTTTGTTTGTTTGCCAAGAATGTGATATCAGCCCAACTGCTTCCAAAACTTGAGTCTGGTCCTCTTCATATCCCACAGCCATGCCTGGCTGAGTCCAACCCCTTCAGGAATTAAGCCTGAGGCAGGGTCCTCTCAGATGCAATGCCTATGCAGCCTGGCTACCCTGCTCAGGATGTTCTGAGGAAAGAGCCACCCCTAGGCCCCACCTAGGGGACAGCCCCATTGAGACGTTCCCTGGTCTCTCTGACAGCCCTGCTCTGGCCCCCCAGGCTGCATCGCTGAAGGACGAGCTTTTCTTTCTTATCCAGACTGTGTTGATTACACACTCCAGAGATTTGTTTTCCTCCATGTGGGCAGACACAGCCGCACAATTGCTTCCAATCTTGTAAACAGAGGGCTGGGTGGGAAAAGAGGTGTGTGTTTGCGGGCGGGAGGAATCTACTGCTTCTGTCCTCCGTATTCCTTCTCCCCCTCTGCACCCACCTCTCTTCTCTTGCTGCCATTCCGGACCAGCCACCTTGCATTCTCCAACTGCAGAACAAGCAGGAAGGAGATTTAACCTCTCCAGAGGGCAATCCTGGAGGAAGGAGGCAGAAATGGCCTGTACTCTGGCTAGCCTGACCAGGTGACCTGGGGGAAGTCATCTCCCCTTTCTGGATCTCAGTTTCACTCCTATAACACAGTAATATCCACCTAGGGAACACTGCATGTTTATTAACATTATATGTATTTTAACAAACATTTGTATGGTGCTTACTAAGCCCTTTGCAAATATTAACTCACTTAATGATCATAACAGTGCTTCAAGCCACCATTATTTTACAGAGGGGAGACTGAGGCACAGAGAAGTTAAGTAATTTTCCCAAGGGCACATGGCTCAAAAATGATAGGGCCAGGGTTGGAACTCAAGCTGGTTGGTGCCAGAGTCTGTATTATGCTGCTACTTGCCTTCCTGGCCTTTCCAAATTTCTAGAAATTCAGCAGGCTGGCCTCTTGGAATCATGCCTGTCCTGTGTCCTTTATTTCCTCTGAATGGGGATTGTGGATTGAATTGTGTCCCCCTAGAAGATATGTTCAAGTCTTTTTTTTTTTTACTTTAAATTCTGGGATACATGTGCAGAACATGCAGGTTTGTTACATAGGTATACATATGCCAGGGTCATTTGCTGCACCTGCATGCATTAGCTATTTGTCCTGATGCTCTCCCTCCCTTCGCTCCCACTCCCACCACAGGCCCCAGAGTGTGATGTTCCCCTCCCTGTGTCCATGTGTTCTCATTGTTCAACTCCCACTTATGAGTGAGAACATGCGATGTTTGGTTTTCTGTTCCTGTGTTCGTTTGCTGAGGATGACGGCTTCCAGTTTCACTCATGTCCCTGCAAAGGACATGATCTCATTCCTTTTTATGGCTGCATAGTATTTCATGGTGTAAGATATGTTTAAGTCTTAACCGAGGTACCTGTGAATGTGACCTTACTTGAAAGTAGGGTCTTTACAGATGCGATCAAGCTGAGAAGCAGTCATACGGGGTTAGGGTGGGCCCTAATCCTGTGTCTTCATAAGAGAAAGGAAAGGAGATTTGGAGACAGACACAGAGACACACCCAGGGAAGATGGCCATGTGAAAATGTAGGCAGAAATTGGAGGGATGTAGCTACAAGCCACAGGGTGACAAGGATTGCCAGAAACTATGAGGAAGCAAGGAATGGTTCTTCTGAGAAGCTTTCAGAGGGGTTGCGGCCCCACTGGCACCTTGATTTCAGACTTCTAGCCCCCAGAAATATGAGAGAATAAATGCCTGTTGCTTTGATCCACCCAATCTGTGGTCACTTGTTCTGGGAGCCCCAGAAAACTGATACAATGGGGTAAGAAAATCTTGAACCCTTCAAGAAGAGGCAGCTCACAGCTTTCTCCACCTACCCCATTCACATCCAGGTCCTCTGTCTCCTGCCACCTCTCATGTCCTCTTGTATCCACTCAACCAGGCTGACATTGTTCTTCCAGAGATTTTGGTTCTAAAATGTAAACTCCAGGCTTGGGATGGTTGACTCAAAAGGATGACTCGTGGATACAGACTTCTGGTCCCATATTCACTGGGAGACAGGGATCTTGAACTTCATGGGGGCCTGAGAATTAGACTTTGGGAGCCTGGGGGTTGTGAGGGTAGTGGGGGTTAGCCTTCTAAGTGGCTATGTCCCCAAGCCCTGGTCCCCTGTCTCCAAAGAACAAGAACTCTCTGAGCTGAAAAGTGGCTCATAGCCACTCTAAGAGGCATGAGGTCATGTGGCATTGTTGCAACGGTACTAGACTTGAAAGTCATGGAGAAGTGAGTTTGAATCCCAGCTCTGCCATTGCTTGGCTGTAACTACAAGCCAGTCACTTCACTGCTCAGGCTCAGACCCCCACCAGCTATGGGGCAGGGCTGATGATGCCTGCTGCACTGCATGATTATGAGGGTTAAATAGAATGAGGCACACAGAAAGACTTCAGGGAACTGTCGAGTGGGACAAATCTGGTGGGGAAGCTGTGTGCCAGGTTCCTGGAAATCTGTGTCTTACTCATCATCCCTTTCCCCAACCACAGGCTCCAAGGCCGGGCTCAAGGTGAGCGAGTGTAAGTTTTGGACTGAAGGTAAACTCTGTCTCATCCTTGGTTAGTCCTTGGATAACAAAGGCACCTTTCCATTGCCCAGCCTGGAATTTTCTCCTCAGCCTGTGACAGAGGTTCTGCTTCTCTCTGAGGGCTGATCCAACACCCCAGCAGGCATTCAGGGGTAATCCAGGCAAAACAGCCAAGCCTGAGGAGTTCCTTTGCCCATGTCTAGTTTGCCTTCTTCTCACCTGCGCTATTCCCTCTGCCCAGGAGTCCCCCTCAATTCCCCCTCTAGAATGTTCTCTAAGGTTCTTTTGCTGGGGCTGCCCTTTCAGCTCTCCGACCCCTTCATAGAGGGGGAAGTCCTGGGACTTCAGGTAGCCTGTTTTGTGAAGTTCTGGGGGGACTTGAAACAATTCTGGAACCCTGAGGTGTGACTCCATAAAGGGGAATCACTGGTTCGTGGACTTCTGGCCAAGATCACATGTCATCTGTCACCCCAGCAGGGGGTTCTGCGCTCCACATGATACCTGTGCTCTCTTTTCCCATTGCATCCACCCACTACCCCAACCCATCCTCAGGTTCCACACTCCTTAGGCAGAGTCCAGAAAAGGGCCGGACCATCTGACCCAGATGAAGCCTCATGTGTGGAGAAGGAGGTAGGGTGCAGAGGTGGCATCAGACAGACCTTGGTTCCAGCTTTGGCTCTTCCACGTCCTGTGTGGCCTTAGGAAAGTCACATCACCTCTCTGAGCTCATTTTTGAAATGAACATAGCATAGCATCCACCTCCCAGTGTTTGGTACAGAACGAGGGAGATGCACTTCTTCCAGGCCACGTGTGCGGTGCCCAGCACGTGATGACAGCTGTAAAAGGTAAGACGCGGTGGAGTTTCCAGTGTTGGGATCACTGTGAGTCTGAATCCCTGCTCTGTGATTTCCTGGCTGTGTACCTTCAGCAAGTCACTCTGCCTCTCGGAGTCACAGTTTCTCCATAAACCTGGAAGAAAGGCCCTCTTCTCGGGCTTTTTATAAGGCTTAAATGAGATGTGTGATCATTTGCTCCATCCTGTACCTCTGCAGAATCTTTCAACAGTGAACTCTTTAACAATTGGCTCTGAATTTAGCTTTTACAGCCCTAACCCGGCCGGCCACTTGGCTCCCGTGACCACGACAAGTCCCTGGCTCTCTGGGTTATCCAACTTTGTATCTCCAGAGGCCAGACCTCCACTCTGATGCCTCCAGGAGCTGCACCTAGAATCCTAGCAATTTCCCGTGTGGCTTTGGCATGGCCAGGGGCAGCAAGGGATGGCTTGGGACTCTAAGGCTGAACAGGCATGGCCATAGGCCCAGGGAGAGGACCTGCGCATGACCACAGTCACCAATGCCATCTGTTCGCTGCACTGTGGCCTCATGAGGGAGAATGGATTGGCAGCTTGTAACACGTGCTCAAAAATAAACTTGCTGGGGGGCAGGGAGGTGTAGAGGGGTCAGCTTTTGGGAAGAAGGTACCCCTGGCCCAGGCAGGCTCTGAACAGTGCTGCAGTACCCTGGAGGCAGCCCTCTCCCCAGGGAGGAGCTGCCCACAGGACTGTTATCACTGGCCAGGCCCCTTTCTTCAGCCCCAGCAGGAATTAGCTAAGGCTGCGAAGTGGCCTCCAACCTTCTCCAGTGCTCCCGAGAAGGGGGAGGGAAGGGCGAGGGGTGGGGAAGCAGCACCAGCGGTGTGCGCATGGGGTGATTGTCATGGTTACGCGCTGACAAAACAAATGGCTCTGCTTCCTGCAGGCCACCTAAACAGCTATCGCAATGTGGGCATTGATCAAGCAGGCTGCCAGGGCAGCAGGCGCTGGGCTTGGGCACTGGAGCCCAGCCCCAGGCCGCACCTCCAGCAGCGCTGGGTGCAGAAGCAGCCACCAAGCTGGTGGAGAGAGGGAGAGAGGGAGTGCCCAGACACATGTTGCTTCTGGGGTAAGGTAAGGGCTGGCCCCGCTGGAGTGAGGAGGAGAGGCCGGGCAGGGGGATGCCCTGGGCAAGCATGAGTGTGTGTGTGTGGTGAGTTTGTGTGTTTGTGGGCATGTGTGTCAGGGTGTGTACACTGTCTGCAGGCACCACGGGAGGGGTCCAGGATGTTCAGCATAAGAAGTAAGGAAACACGACCACATGTTGCTGCAGGTCCAGCGCTCTCACTCTCTCTCTGTCTCTCTCTCTCTCTGTCTGTCTCCTCTGTTGCCCTTCCTCCCCACTTCTCCTGCTCTGCTGCTCCCTCTTCTCTTTCTCCTTTGCTCTCTGTGTCCGTTTCTCTCTTTTCTGTGTGACTCTCTGCATTTCCTTCTCTCTCTGTCTCTGTCTCTCTCTTCTCTGTCTCTGCCTCCCTCCTCCCTCTCTCAACCTTCCATCCCTGCCACCTGTTTCCACCACCTCCTGGTCAGTCCCCCATCATCCCTCGTCTGTCCTCCAGAGCTCTGGGGCAGTCAGGAGCTCTGCAGGGTGCCCACCCCGGCGGCTGGGCTCACGCCTGCTGCCCTCCGGATGCCCGGTGGCTTGTGACCATCCCCAGAGCCACTGGCCAAGCGCACACCCTTTTCTGAGCCCTGCGTCCCTGCGATCCTGCAAGGTAAGGGGGCTCCAGAAGGAGAAAAGGTCCTCAGGCAGAGGGAGGCGGCTAGGGGAGAGGAACCCAGCAGCGGGCGCAGTGTGGCGTCTGCTAACGCATCAAGCCTCCGCTGGAAGTTCCACCATAACATCTGCGGCAGCCCCAACAGTTCCACCCCATGCGCCCACCGCACTGCACCGCAGCAGCAGCAGGAGGCCTGGGGGCGGGGGCCAGGCCCGTTCCCTCCTCCCTTCTGAAGAGCAACAGGCACCACAGCATCCTGTCTCTACCACTGCTCCGGGTCCTTCTTTTGCTTTTGCTTTTTCTCTCTTTTTCCTCTTTTTTCTTTTTCCCTCTGTCTTTCTTTCTTTTTTCTTTCCCTCTCTTTCTTTCTCTCTCTGTCTCTTTTTCTTTCCTCCTTCCCTCCTGTCCTTCCTTTCCTCCTTCCTTCTTTTTTTTTTAGACTTAGGAAGTTGAGTGCTCTTCTCCTTCTCTGCTGAGGTGCAGCCCGTTCCCTGGGTTCACCTGTCTAAACCCAGCCAGGTCATGGGGACTGGACAAGGCTCAAAAGGATCTAGATGAACTCCAGTCCTCCTGCTCCTGGGAAGAGGCCGTGAGGACACGAGGCTCTGTGGTCAGCTGGGTTGGCTGGTGGGGGCTGAGCACATGTACATGTGTGTGTGTGATGCATGACGGCATATGCTCTTGAGAGGCATATGAGGGCATGTGTGTGTAAGGGGATTCCCTGGACGGTAGTGACATGTGTTGAGTGAACTACATGAGTTGGTACACGGGTCTGTGGTGTGTGTATATAAATGCATTTATATGACTGTGGGTGCATGTGGGGGAACACCCTGTGTTTGCTGCTGTGCAAGGATTTCAGAGTGCAGGCACATGCATTTGTCCGTGTGCACATGTGTGTGTACATGCAGAGGACTGTGAGTTGAATTTGACCCAGAGGTTGCTGGGCAGGATCCCCAGGGCCTGATGTGTGGCTGCCGGGCCCTCATCACCAGCCTTGGCCAGCATCCATCTCCAGGGATAGCACTTTGGTTGTTTCCTGTCTAGCCCTGTCCAGGTGATGGAGCAGGGCTGGTGGTCACTGTGCCCGGGTGGGTGGCCTGCAGACGCCACTGCCTTGCTGGCCTGAGATGGGCCAAGGCTCCTGGCCTGGAAATGGCTCAGGCTCTGAGCAGCCTCCTTAGCCCTGGCTTCAGGGATTAGGAAACTCGGGAATCCGTGATCTCACAGAAAATGGGGTGAAGACCAGCTCCAGATCGGGGCCAGACACAGCTCTCAGAAGGTGCTCTAGCCATTGGCCATTGAGTGTTAGTAAAGTTGTCCTGACTGGGGGAGGAAGTAGAAGACAGGGAGCCTCACCCAGGGTGATGACACCGGTATTCTGTTCCAAAGGGCAAGGACACCCACTCAGCCATCCCCACTGCCCTGCTCACCTGGCGGCTCCTGGTACCAGAGGGAAGAAGCCCCTTTGTCCTTCCCCTGTCTCCCTCATTGCGGCTTTGCTCCAGGCTCTGCTCTGAGCCAGCGCCTTCCCTGGCTGGCTGGCTTCTTGTTACCAGACAATTGATGCAAATGCTGGTTCTGGCTTGTGAGAGGCCAGCTCCACAGGGACAAGGGACAGCCCAAGGAAGGGAGGGCAGTGGAAGAGGTACCGAGGGGCTCAGGGCAGCACTCCTCCAGGCTGCTGGCATGGGCTCCTTTTCAGGTGCCAGTTGCCCCTCTGCAGAATACCTGGGTTTCTCTCGGTACCCCAGATGGTTCTCCCTACAACACAACGTTGAGTAACCAATGACCAGGCTGTGCAGACACAGGTTTCTTGTGGTCTCACGGGTATCTTCACTCCAGTCAGCCTGGAAGGGGCTTGAGCTAGGCCAAGAAGAAGATCACATAAACAGGAAGCTGACAGACACCCCTGGGGGGACTGGGAATAGCCCAGTGGGGTCACTGGACTGAGTGTGACTCCAGGGCTCCAGGGGTGAACAAGTCTTCTCATCCCATGAAACCTTCTGGGTTCCTGGATTCCTTAGGCAGAGGGGATTGGGATCAGGGGTGTTCTATGTGGGGCTAGGCAGGCTTCCTGAAGGAAGTCACGCTGGAGTGGGAACTTGGAGGAAGCAATGGATGGATATAGCTACATGGATGGATAGAGAGGAGCAGGGAAGTGTTTTCCACATGACCAGGGGTGTGAGTGCCGGCAGGGCTGGGAGGGGCAGGAGGTCTTGGTTGATCAGTGTCAGTTTGAATGAACAGATAAAAGAGGGTGAAAATAGGGAAAGGAATGAAAACCATTGGATCACTGGGTGCCCACTTCATGCCAGGCTCTGGGCTAGGTGTTGGATCTCTGTCCTCAAGAAGCTTGCAGTCTCAAGTAGGGAGACAAATGGTCATCAATTACCCAAGCTTATGCGAAAAAGCACTCACGGAAGAGCTCTAGGATTTGAGGCACAGAGGCAAGGGCTGGGTCAGAGGCACATCTTTGTTGAGTCAACTGCTTATGCACTAAAGCAGAGGAGGGCAAGCTTGAACCTGGAAGAATTTTTGTCTCTAGTGTCTGGTCACTTGCCTGCTTATAGTCCCGGCCCCAAGGATGAGCCTGCAAAAATAGCAGAGAAGGAACAGTTAGACGTGGGGGTGGGGGAAAGGGAGACAAAGAGTAGTACCTAGTTTCTTCCCTGCCTTGTGTCATTCCCTTACCTGGTGCCTTACCCATAGGGTTTTATTAATCTCTACTTTACAGAAGATAAAACTGAGTCTTGGAGAGCTCAAAGAGCTAGCAAGAGCAGACAGCGGCGCCACCCTCTAGAAGAGAACTTAAGACCGCTCCATGGATGGAGATTGTTACAGCAGGATTTAGCTGAGCGAGACTGGATCCTAGGGGCCTAGAGGAGGGAGCAATCACTCCTAGATAAAGAGGTGGGGAAAGGCTTCCTGGAGGAGGTGGGTTTGAAAGGACCCAGTGGGATGAGTAGGTTTCAAAATACAAAGATGGGGTCACGGGGCTCTGGGTTGAGGGAAGAACATAAACAAGGGTGTGAAGTTGAGGCTCACGGAGGTCTGGGGAAGAGCACATACTGTATTCTAGTCTGGAACACAGAGTCAGAGTGGAAGACAAATACGTGAGCAGGCTGCAAAGGGGGATTGTGGGGAGGAGCTGAATTTGACACGAATAAGTCAGGCTTAGTTAGGACAGTAAAGAGTCCCAGAGCAGGAAGCACCGTGGTCAGATCAAGGTCTCAGGAAGACAAATCAACAAGCCTGAGAAACTGAAATCTCACCTCTTGAAGCTTCACTGGGGTCTGGAGGGATCCTAGTCCCCAGTCTGAAAACCCTTTGCTAGATCATGCATTGTGAATCTTCTTAGGGCAAGGGTCCCAGAGTGTCTCAGCACAAAGCCCTTCTCCCTATTCCTGCAACTACACTAAGGAGCAAACTGCTGGGTGCAGGACTCTCTGCAAGAGGTTCCTTCCATGGGTGCCATTGTGGACACAGAAGACAGGACCCAGGGCCAGGGCAAGCAGCTGGAGTGATGGTTCCAACATAGCCTAGAATGGGGCCATTGAGGGAGTGGCTAGAGGGTAGGGGATGGGTTTACCTGGCTCGCCATGGTATCTCCCCTTCCTTGTTCAGGCCCCGTGGAGGGGTCTGCTTAATTATTATCTGAGACCCCACAGATGTGAGGCTGTAGGTTTCTTAAAAGGTCACCCTAACAGAAAAACATTAATGGACTGACCACTTACAAAAGTAGTCCCTGAATGAATGTCTGTTCTTGCTCAGAACCAGTGTTGATCCCTGACCTTCGCACAATACCTATGTCCATCAATTTCTCCGTGGTTGTCAGGTGGGATACGCAGCTGACCATACAAAGCCCAAGGATTGCACAGTGAAAATGACATCATGTGAAAGTTGCAGGAGTTAATGAGGCCAATCAAAGAGGACGTTGGAGGACTCCTAGTCCTACCCAAGGCCATAGATAAATAAGAACCTGGCGGCGAGGCCAGAGAATGACAGAAGAGAATATTGACAACAATGAGTTCATGATAAGAAACTTTAATCATTATGCTGTGACAGTGAAATATGACATTTTTTTTAAAATGTCGTATCATGCTAGCATATAATTTTGTTCAGGAAAATCATGCCTCCATAAACTAATCAATATTTGATTTGTCCTTTGAGCACTGAAAGTTTTGGCACACGGTTGCAACTATAATCTTATTTTGGTCCAATATAAAATTTTATTTTCATATTTTTAATCTCATTTTTCAAAATGAAATCCCAACTGAAATCTTTTCTTCATTCACCCTTTCCTATGAAATGTTGGTCCCTGTTTTAAGTGGATCTACTAAGAGTGGGATTTTTCTGGTCAAATTCTTGTGTGAACATGGGGAGCTCTCATGAACAGTGTTTAATGCTTGTGGTTTACGGATGAATTACTATGGAGTCCTTCCAGAACCTGTACTATTGCCTTTCAGGTTTCTTGCTTCTGCATTGCCTGCCTCACCTCAGGTCATTCATTAGTTTATTCAGCATTGAATGAGTGCCTCCGATTGTCAGATTCTCTTCTAAGGCACTGGGAATACAAATTGCCGACAAAATATACAAAGATCTCTGGCTTCCTAGAGCTTATAGTCTAGAGGACCCACTGGCCAATCTCACCTTCCTCCACCTCTTACTCCCTTCCAATACCATGGATTCTGTTCCTGGGACCATCACCTTTGCTCAGAACTCAAACATTCATGGCTGTACTAACCAAGTTAGATTAGTCTACACTGCAGCAAAAAATCAGCAACGTTTTAATTCCTGCTCCTGCTGCATGTCCAAAGTGGGTCATGCCTTTCATGGAGGCTCCTTGGGGGCAAAGTCCTTCATGATCACTGTGGTAGAGAACATGACATGGGCAAGCACATAGTGGCTTTGAAAGCTCCCACCCAGAAGTGACATATGTCACTTCTGCACATTTCATTGGCTGAAACCAGAGGCACATCGAGGCCTTCAAAGAAGCC